CATAGTATACCTAAGGAAAGTCCATCCTAAAACAGGCACTTGCATATGAAGTGACGAAGTATGTTGAGTTATTACATAAAATTCGTAAGCCCATTCAATACCCATTCTTTAGTGAAGCACATTCCACACCATTCACCGATCTCACTTCACTTACAGAAGAGCCAACAGACTGCAGTTTTAAACTAGGCTCCCCGTCCCCAGCAGCGAAGCATTCTGTCTGCTTTGGACGTTCTTCCGTCCCACTAGTACCACTGGGAACGATTCCCGCTCACACTCTAAATCCCAAACTTGACCCGTTTCTCCAGCTGTCTGAGAACATGTCAGCCACAACTTAGGAGGCAGATCTCTCGGCAATTTATCGTGGATAGCGCAGTCTCTCTCAGGGTGGGAAGTTCTCTACACGACTGCAAACTTCCATTTAGTGCCAGTCGCCAGAGTAGGCTATAAACAATCCTAACTCACATGCAGGATGGTAACACAGTCGAAATTATTTTAAGTTGAGCATCTTAGATAATACTCACTGCCTTTGGTTTGTGGAATAGCCACACATGTGCGGACTGCGGATCGGACTGAAAACGAAAATAAGTAGCAATACCTCAATAAAAACCTTCCTTTCAAATTTAAATATTTCATTAGTTTTTATGAATGCAGTCACAAACTCTTCGACCTCTCCTTTTACCTAGCTTCGAATACAGGGTGTTTCACTAAAAGTGTCAAAAAGTAAAAGGCCCTTATGCACATAATAACAATGTTTTCTATGGACATTTGCACATCATTCCATCCGCGATTGTTGGACATTTGAATATATGAAAATGATATCACCGTCACTCAAACCTATTCCACATATCCGCCGCTTCTTTTGATGCACCGTTTCGGCACGTGTCCGGAGGTGCCTCACAGCCCGTTTTCATCTTCAGCGTCCAGACTGTCGGCAAAGCCTTGCATTGTGCTCTTCAGCTCCAAAAGTGATGCGACTTAAGTCTTCCTCAGCTCTGCGAGAGCTACTGACCAAAACCAGAAGGCTAGCGGTGACAGATCGGGGCCTCGCGCTGGCCAGGGGCGGGCGGTGAGGCAGCTGATTATTCGGTCCGGGAACGGAACTTCTGGTCCAGCCAGTTCTTACAGTGGTTGTTTCTGATAAATTGGGGGCTTGGCTATTTCTGATGTTTAAATAAGCTTCTTGTTATCTTAAAAGGCCCTAAAAAGACCCTGACCTTTTCAAAGATTTCCGCCGAGAGGTGGGGGCGACCCGCCTTTTTTGGACTGGAACCGGCATCAAAGGAACCCTTTTAAACCTCTCAAGAAGCCCTTTGAAACTTTTATAATCTGGGTCGTAGCGAGGTGAGAGAGTGAAACGTTTCCTGAAAAGTCGGCGTACGGTTTCAATGTTTCTGACAGCACCAAATGTAAGTGTAATCCACCGCTCCCGTTGCGGTGTAAATAACCTGTTCTTGTTCTGCATAAGGAAAAAAAACGACTAGTAACTTTGGCCTCCTGCCCTCGCTCCGTATGAGTGTAAACTGTAAAATATATCTTAAGTGGCCAAAGCATAAATGTCCAAAAATTTGCAACAAAGCCACGTGCGCAACCACGTGCTTTGCGTATTTTATATATCTTTAATAAGCATTTTCTTTTTGACACTTTTAGTGAAACACCCTGTAGTTATGAGTTATGACACAGTGCTTGCAAATATTTGTAAGTTATCTTAAAAATACCTTGAAAATATATCTTGAAAATAAATGGTATATTCACTCAGTCGAGACATTCCGACCCATTCTACACCTGACTTTCATGCAAACATTCCGTTGCTAGTAAGTTCGTAACCACACCACTGGCGGTCGCAGGGGGGGGGGGCCACGGGGGCCATGGCCCCCCCTTTGGTGCTGAAAGGTGGGGCCATACTATCTTTGGCCCCACCTTTCAGATCGAACAAAAGTCCTAGAAAAGCTTTTCGTATGTTTCATTTTCTTTCTTGCGCCATCAAAGGACGTAAATTTCACTCATGATGAGTGGGCTCAGTTTCGCATTCTGTCAATTTGGCGGTCAGCGTCGCTGGCACCGGTTCACGAGTATGGCCGGATCTTATATGGAATATCAGCGCGGGTTTACTTGAGGCTCTCGTAGGCCCAGCATTCAGCAATGGCTGGCATGAGACCCTCTTCGGCAGTGGCGGGTGGGCCCTGCTAAAGGAGATTGGCTCCAAGACACTAAAGTAAGACCTCATGGGTTGGTGCTGTGCACCTCAGAAGCCCGGTGGTGACGCCGTATGCCGGCTTGGTTTCTTAAGGATTAGCGTGGAACCTCCGGGGCCTGCATAGAGTTTGCATGAGCTATGTAATCTCAGAGGCATGTGTGTAATGTGTACCTACACAGTGGCGGTCGCGGGGGGCCGGGGGGGGGCATCAGGGCCATGCCCCCAAAGGTCAATAAAGGGGGCCATCATATCATTTGCCCCCCCCCCCTCAAACAACCAATGGGCCCCCATATAGTAGTGTGGGCCCTGGCAATTATTCGATCGTCACGAGGCTAAAAAAAAACACGCCCAGCTATCAATATAGCTCCCACACCGGTCTTTGAACGTCCTACACTGACCTCTGAGGGAACTTCAGTGGCGGTCAAGCGCCCACGTTGACCGCTAAGAGCCTACATCAACCTCTGAGGCCCCACATCTGGCCTATGAGGGCCCCTAACCGGCCTCAGGGGTCCCAACCGGCGTCTGAGGGTCTCACACCGGTCTCTGGTGGCCTTATTTCTGTCTCTGGTGTCCCAAGACGAACCTTTAGGTGCCAATAAGGGCCCCGCACTGGCTGCTGAAGACCCGATGCCGGCCTCTAAGGGTCTGCATTGGCCTCTGAGGAGGGCCCATCTTGGCCTTTGAGGGCCCTCTGCTGGCCTCTGGGGTCCAACGACGGCTCATGCCGGTCTTTTAGGGCCCCACGCTGACCTCTGAGGGCCCATGCTGGCCTGTAATGAGTAAGGACCCACATTAGCCTCTGAGAGCCCAACTCGGTCTCTGATGGTCTCAAACTACTGGCCTTTGTAGTTTGCAGGCCCTGTACTGGTCTCTGAGGGCCCTAAACTAGTCTCTACATGAAAACATACATGGGTGGGTTTCCGAAGATCAGAGGGCTCACGCAGTCTCCGGCACAGCCTTACGTTGGTCCTGATCGAGATTGCTTTACGTCCTGATGGTCCCGCGCTGATTCCCTCATATTTCGAGGTCGGGACCCCATGAGCCGGTGTGGGTCCTGGGGCTGGCAGAGACTGATGAAGTCCTTAGGGCTCAGGGCCAGTCTTTTTAGCAGTAGGACTAGGCAGGTTGAGTGAGCCCCAACAGAGCCGTTGCGAAGCCCCGCAGGAGTCGCGCGCGGCCCTCAGATGCCAATTCCATGAAAGCTCGGAACCTGTGGGGGTCTCCAGAGGCCGGTGTACCTACTCTCTCCCGCCGCCACACAACTAGGTACCTATATGGGTAAATGTCATAGTCTAAAAATGCTCTCTGGGTTTCACATGCTTGTTCAAAGCAAGAGGTATCTGTACTTTTTAGCAAGATGTATCTGCACTTTTCCGAATTGTTTTATAGTGGTAAGATCATGAATCCGCGTGCCTAACCTTCCAGTATACCTATGCTACACCGATCCGTCGTCATGGACGGTGCAGCGGCCCGACCGGTGGGCACACCGTGAGACGGTAAATGGAACCGTTGATTTTGCCTTAAATTGAGCTCAAAGATTTCACGCAAGAATGAGATGGATGAAGCATAAGTAATGCCAACTGTGCGGCGCCTCGTGGACGTAAAAAATTAGCCGATCACCCCCCCCCCCCTCCCGGTGATGGATAAATGTTATGTCCCGCGAGTGTGACTTTGGCCCCCCCTTTTGCTAGCGGCTGCGACCGCCAGTGAACCACACGACACAAAGATCCTCATCCTTCCAACTGTAATCCGAAGACTTGTATCTGCACTTTTGGCATTCCAGGGTGTCGACAGTGACGAGTTAATACATCACGACTGTCAGTTTCCAACACAGTACATTCAAGAAGTGTCATGCATTAAACGTGGCATCAGCAAACCTCACGTTTGCCGGCTGTCGAATTGACTGTGCTGACAAATAGGGATCAGCCTAGGCTTACGGAGATCGTAACTCATGGTACGAGTAAGATCAGAGCCATCGGTTATCCGCAGCATCACTGACCTTCTCGACGGTTTTCACCCAAGATTGACAAGCATACCACAAGCAAACTGAAGTATAAGACTTGGTCAATTGTCAGCTCAAATTCGGTGTTTGGAGCTTCCACTTAACTTTATCACCCACCGCCGCCCCTGATTGGCCGACGGGACCGTGACGACACTGGGCGCTGGGCTTGCAGCGGAGGCCGGCGGCTGCTCGAACACGGGCCAGTGACGGCCGCGCCGCCGAGGGGGGAGTGCGGGGAGGGCACGGACCTCGTGCGGCAGAGCACTGGGAAAATGTGAGCCCCAGTGTGACCAGTGTGGTGGGACGGGGTGCTGACGGAGAGGGCGAGAGAGCTGACGTGAGATGAAGGTGGTCGCGGATAACTGTAAGGTGAGTTGTACCTTCTTTTTAACTTCAACCAGCATGTCACCTCGGTTTATACGTTTTTTCCTAGCCAAGCTCACAACATTAGCATTCCCCATTTGTTAATATGTCAACATTTGATGTCAGTAACCAGGGTTCCAATGTTTAATATTCCTCTTTAATCCTTTAATCTTTAATCCTCAGGAGGACAGCTGAACACAATAGGCTGTTTTGGAGTAGCCTCTGGTTTCAATCGGGACTTTGGCTGAGCCAGTTCCAGCTCAATTATAGACCACTTACACTGGCTCAGCAGTCAGCATTCACTGAAATAATATTCCTTTCGTTCAGGTGTATATATAACCTGCAATATAATCAGCTAATGCTTGCACAATGCACAATGTATAGTACATGTCACGGATGGAATGTCACAATGTGCACATGATGTGTCCGCTGCTATCATTTTCGGCCATTATACTGGCACTCCTAAATGCAACTTGCGCCAGGTCACTTCACTGTCGTACCTTTTCATCCTCGCTCTTACATTCACGGCTGGCGTGACCTGCTATTTTTGCACTGCATAGTGTTTCAACGAAAATCAGTGTGGCGTTATAAAGTGACCATCCCACCTTAAGTGACCATCCCACCTTAAGAAATAAGTGACTATTATCTGCGAAATAGAAGTCCGGTATTTGTATGCTTTCTCGATGCACGGAAGGCTTTTGACCGAGTCAACCACTGGAAGTTATTTGCTATACTTCTAGAGAGGAAAATTGATGTGAGTCTTGTGAAGTTTCTTTCTTCGTGGTACGAGACTCAACAATTTTATGTTTTATGGGGTGGCTTGTTATCCGAAGGGTTTACGGTGACAAACGGGGTAAGGCAAGGTGGGATATTATCTCCATATCTGTTTAATGCGTACACTGATGGTCTATCGACGCTTCTTGATCGGAGTGGTGTTGGGTGTCATTTTCAAGGTAGTGTAAATCATTTATATTATGCTGATGACATGGTCCTGCTATCCCCTTCATCATATGGACTGCAGAAAATGTTGAATGTCTGTGATATACAATTGAGCATGATATCAAATTCAACACTAGAAAGACTGTTTGCATGAAAATATGTCCTAAGTTATTTCGTGATCTCTATGTTCTTACTATCTCGCTTGGTGGCTGTGCTTTGAAATTCGTTGACTCTTACAAGTATCTTGGGTATCAACTCAGCAATGTGGGCTCTAGAGTCGATGACTTAGAAATCCGACAGCAATATCGTAATCTTTGTTGCCGTGCTAATACGATCAGTCGCAAATTTGCCATATGTTCATACTCGGTTAAGAAATATTTGTATGATGCCTATTGTTCAAATGTCAGTGGCATGCATTTGTGGCACTCGTTTCATGTGTCTGTTCTGAAGAAATTTAAAGTGTGTTTTAACAATGCTGCTAGGACGTTATTTGGCTACGACAGGTTCTGCAGTGCTTCGAACATGTTCGTTCAAGAATGCTTGCCCGGCTTTGATGCCTTGTGCCGAAAATCAGTGTGGAACTTTATGACGCGCCTTCAGTGTTCCTCTAATCAAATCATATTTACATTGTTCAACAGTGACCTGGCTGTGACTTCCTCGATAAGGAAGGCATGGCGGCAATGTCTGTATTTAAAGGGACCCTCCCACCTTCAAAAAAGTTTATGAATTGGCATGAAAGTGATGTCGCTCGGTTCAGAAAGAGCGAAAACGAATATCTACCAAATTTCACCGAAAAATATTCACCGGTTTTCAAGATATTAGACTTTTACTTTTGTTTACTTTTTTGGGATCCGCTGTTTCTAGCGACTTTATTTTAGAAGTGCGGCGTTTGCGGCAGATGTTGCGCGCAAATAGCATATATCACACCGCGTGCTACAAAACGTTTTAGTCAAACATTTAAAAATCGTTAGATCTCTGCGCTGACGTCACACATTCAGAGGGGTATTCCTAAGCATTAGCCCCTCTGAATCAAAATGCTGCAATTTTGAAATTCAATATTTCAGATTTAAGGCATTTCTCGATGTTGTGAGTGCCGAAACCGGTAATTGTGAGCCAGGGACCCCATTTTGGCTATCTCAACTCAAATCTAATGTTAAGGTGGGAGGGTCCCTTTAAGTTGAGGGTCTTATGACCTCTCATGATTCTTTATGGACCTAGAGTCTGCTAATAAAGGGATCTCTCTCTCTCTCTCTCTCTCTCTCCTCTCTCTCTCTCTCTCTCTCTCTCTCCTCTCTCTCTCTCTCTCTCTCTTCTCTCTCTCTCTCTCTCTCTCTCTCTCTCTCTTAACATTACTTTTGAGTTGAGATAGCCAAATTGGGGTACCTGGCTTGCACTTACCGGTTTGGGCACTCACACAACATCGCACGACATCGAGAATTGCTTTAATTCGTAGATATTTAATTTCAAACTTACAGTTTTCAGATTCTAAGAGGCCAATGCATTTGAATGCCGCCTTAGAATTTGTGACGTCAGCGGAGATCTAACGATTTTTAAATCTTACACTAAAGCCATCGTTACAACGTGGTGGTATATACTGTTTTGCGCGTAACGTCTGCCGCACTTCGAGACTGCCAAATTATTGCTTCCAAATACCTAAGTCGCTAGGAACAGCGGATGCCCCAAAAAGTAAAGAAAGGTAAAAGTCTGATGTCTTGAAAATCAGTAAACATTTTTCGGTGAAATTTGGTTGATCTTTCCGAGCCTCGGGACATCGCTTTTATGCCAATTCATTAACTTTTTTGAAGGTGCGATTTAAGGCACGGCATAGCAGCTTCCAAGATTAGCAAGCTTACATATATCACCTGTTACCTCTGTTTATATATCACGTCAAACTTGTCCAGAGATTTACACATACAGTGACGACTGTAGGGGTTTAACGGGTAATTATATACCTTACCCTGCATAAATTATGCTGTAACGTTTTACCAGTTTGATGAAAATGTTATCAGTATTTATGAAATACAAAAGCCTTAACAGATCTGAGACACCCACTTACATTGTTCACAATTCATGGCGTGCCTCGGGGGGATCCGATGTAAGCTTTGTCATGCAAATGCTGTGAAATCATGAGGTCTATCTGGTTAATCCAGCGATTAATGACTCTCCTACGTAACTGTCAGGCAACATGGGAAGGACACGGCTAAAGTGACATACCGAGCACTTCACACTACTTGTAAATGCACGCGGTGGACGGTGGACGGTGGACGGTGGACGATGGACGGTGGACGGTGGACGGTGGACGGTGGACGGTGGACGGTGGACGGTGGACGGTGGACGGTGGACGGTGGACGGCGGCGGAAGGTGATTTCTCGATGGGTATTCACTATTTCTCTGTCAATGGGACCGTGACATCGAGAGGTCACGCTGCAGGCTCCTGTCGAACAGACCCTCGGTCTCCAAACAAGACCCGATCCCTACGGCCGTCCTACGCACGCGCCGACCTTGATGGCTGAACTGATCGGGCAGGCCGGCGGGAGCGACGCAGCTCCTCGACATCACGCACTGAATACTGATGGTATCGGGGTAACGGATATCGCCCATCTTTGAGCCGAGAGCGGCCTGATAAGTCCACGACACGGTTGCCCTGCTCGAGGCATTGCAAACGGCCGAGTAGCTCAGGCTGTCGAACGGAACAGCTAGAGTACGATGTGAACGAGGACGGTACATGATTAATGAAGCATTATGTACGATCGGCTACATTTCTATGTAGTACTGGACTGCAGAGCAGAAGACAAGGTGCTGGTTGTAGGGTGCACTTTGTAGCGTTGCCTTTTTGTACTGCACTGTAAACTCATTTTGACAAGGGGTTGTCGTACAACGAGCGTTTGTCAAAAATACTAATAAAGGTTATGTCGAACGACGAATATCTTGTCATAGTTGGTTGAATTCAACAGGGCAAATATTAGTATCAGCCCCAGCACCCAGTCGACCATTCATAAAATTGACGAGGATTATGGAGGCTATTGTGAAAACTACCAGGGTCTTATTCGTAATATGGAACATAGATTTGCTTATGATTTGTAATTTATATCCTTGTCGAAAGAACCAGCTACACCATTGCAACAATACTGATACATACTTATGTAATCTATGTCCTTGTCAAAGGTATCAGCTACACCTTTGCAACACGGACTTAGTTACGCTAGTTAGACGTGTTAGTAGTAACATATACAAAGCTGTTACTTGTTTATAGGTGGCGCCAAAAACGTTTCCGGCCGTTTCATTTGAAAGTTTCAGTTGCGCGCCAACCGCCGTGCAGTGATGTGGCCTCCTGCGCACTTCCGTGAAAATGGTAGGTGATAACAGTGTTCGGTCGTTTTTGTCATTTTTTAATGAAATGTATGTCTTTCAACTGATAGTAATGCAGATTGAATCAGAGAAATTTGCTAAATAAGTGCGTGATGTATGGAAGCAAGCACAATGTGTTCTGCTCCAGGCCATATTGTTCTGCATATGCTATAATATAGCGATGCTTTCTTTCAGGCTTTCATCAGGAGCGAAAGCTCTAGCTTGCAAGCAAGGGTCGCTACACTGAAGACAGCAAACTGCAGAAACTCAAGAATTCTAAAAATAAAAAAGCACCTGAATTCCAAGGGGCTAATGAATTTGAATGCCCCTTAGATTTGAATGGGTACAGTGTACTCGGTAAGTGATGACGCTCATTGCTTTTTCGCATGCGCTATTGCCCTTGCCCCCATGGGTCATGAGTGTTATCAACATTGTGTGTGTAATGTGTATGTACCATTTTAAATACATGACCTACTTTCAGTAATGCTGTTTTGCTGTAATAATGAGACTGCAGAGCGGCGACCTGCGATTTGTGGAGAAAACTGACGAATACAAGGGAGGTCTTTGTAAAACGTTACAAACCTGAGACTAGTAGATTGCTTACAAGTACAGGTTTGCTGCACGTAGACATTACTATGCTTACTAAGATTTGCATTGATTTGACTTAACAAGTACACGGCTCAGCCCTGTTAAATGGAAACATACGCAGGTCTTTACCT